CCACTCTTTTCAAAATGTTAAATTTATAAAATTATTTTTAAAAATTAAATTTTCATTTACTTATTTTGTGAGTGTGCGATACATGTGTGTATGTGTGTGGGTGCAATGTGCCACAGCATGCATGTGGTAGCCAGAGCACGACTCTTGACAGTCAGTTCTCCTACCCTTGTGGATCCTGGGAATTGTAGTCAGGTCATCAGGCTTGGCAGTAAGCACCTTTACCCACTAAGCTCTCTCACCAGCCTTACAGTTATTCTAAAACTGACAAATGCTTATGTATATTTATGAGTAGTGCAATGTAATATTTTCATCTGTGTACAGGTTATTGAATGATTCAAACTAACATTTCTATCAGCTTGCCAACTCATTTTTTGAATAAGCATGTTGAAATTTTATTCTTTTAGCTTTTTAAATTATTTTATTTTAAAAAATTGTTTATTTTTATGTGTAAGAGTGTTTTGCCTGCATACAAGTAAGTGCACCCCTGTTGTGCAATGCCTGTGGAGGTCAGAAGAGGATGTTGGACCTCGTGGAGCTGGAGTTACAGATAATTGTTAGTTGCCATGTGGGTGCTGGGAACCAAACCCTGGTCCTCTGCAAGAGCAGTCAGTGCCCTTAACTGATGAGCCATCTCTCCAGCCTCCTTGTAACTATTTTGAAATATATAACTATGAATATTTTTATTAGCACATATTACTTGTATGTAGCAATAGATTTTGTGACAATTTCATACATGTACATAATGTGTCCCACTCATAGTCATGCTGTCCATTATGGTCTCATCCCCCTTCCCCTGTCTCTGTTAATCTCCTTCTTCTCAACTAGTCCCTCTTCTACTTTCATTTCTTTCTGTGTGTGACCCCAGAGTTTCATTAAGGTTGTTTTCAGGAGCATGGGTGGGAGTTTGTTTAGGAGCTTATGTACCTTGCCAGTGAAGAAGATCTACATCCCTCCCACCCCATGCCTCCATCAACCTAAGAGAGGGGTTTGACTCCATCAGCCCCCATCCCACTCCTTGAGAATCTGTTGACAGGCCCAATCTCGTAGAGATCTTTGTGCAGATAATCGCAGCTTCTGGGACTTCAAGAATCGCACAGCCATGTCATACCTGGAAGTCCTGCCCCCTTCCTTTGGCTCTTACATTCTTTCTATCCCTTCTGCAGTGTTTCCTGACCTTTGGAGGGGAACACATCAGTGTTCCATTTGTGGTTGAGCATTCAATAATCATTTATTCGCTGTACTTTGATTAGTTATGTCTGTGTAGTCACTGTTGGCCAGAGCAAAAAGAAACTTCTCCGACTAAAGCTGACAGCAGCACTACTCTATGGGCATGAACACAAGTATTTAGAAGGCAATTTGACGGACACATCATGTTTGTTTAGTGAAACAGCAGCAATAGCCTCCCTACTAGGGCCTCTGACTTCTCTAGCCCTGGGCTTTGGACTAGGTGTACAGTTCCAGATGTGAATTCCCTCCTGTGGAGCAGGTATCAAATCTGATCAGAAAGCAGTTAATTATCCCCATTATAGGGTTCCACTGTTGGGTCAGTAAACTTTTGTTTCCTGGCCAGTCAGTGTTGTTGTATACAGAGTCCACAGCTGAGTAAGATGGTTGATGACAATTCTCTCCCAGCAGCCTGCATAGCAGCTTCTGGAGAATACTGTGGGGGCTGGCCAGCAGAGAGGCAGCGTCCAGCTCAAATTCAGCTTGATTTCTCTAGTCCTGAGACCAAGGTGTGTAGTGTTTTCAGCTTACCAACTAGTTCTGGTAGGCGCCCGAGAGCAGTGGCTATTGCCAGCTTTATACAATGCATTATTAAAACCGTAGTCACTGTGCAGTACATCAAATCATTTAAACATTCCTTCAGTTTAACTGACACTCTGTACCCTTTGATCAATATCTTCCCTTCCTCCACCCTTCCTCCTTCCTATCAGCCTCTTTTTTGGTATTCTTTTTGAAAAAGTTCTTTGAAAATTTCATACATGTTTACCTTGTATCTTGGTCATATCCACTCCCATTCCCTCTCTCCAATTGTCCCTGGGCTCCCACAATACATCTCTTTCCAAACTTCATGTCCTGTTTTCTCTTTTTAAATCCACTGAGTCCAGTTAGTACTGCCCATATATGTATGGGTGTACCCACCAGCCAATTTATCTCTCTTTTTAAAAGATTTATTTTTAATTGTGTGTGTGTGTGTGTGTGTGTGTGTATGTGCTTGTGAGTTATAGGCAGTTGTGAGCTGCTCTATGTGGGTGCTGGGAACTGAACTTGGGTCCTCTGCAGTATGGGGTGTGAACAGCTGAGCCGTCGCTCCAGTGCCTATCAGCCTCTTGATAAACTATTTTCTACTATGTTTCTATGAGACCAATGTTTAAAGTTTCTACATATAACCAAGCTTTATGGCTGGCTTATTTAATGTAGCATAGTGCCCTCAGTTCCCTCCATGTTTTTGCATTTTTTTAATTAATTTACTCATTGATGTATACTAAAGTTGATTCTATAACTTATGAGTAGTGATAAAGTGAACATGGAAGTTCAGAAACCTCTCTTCAGTATTTTGATTTTAGTTTTTTTTTGAATTGCTGGATTATATGGCAGTTTGATTTGAGGAACATCCATAATATTTTCCAAATTGGTCATATAATTTATGTAACAACCATTACTATACATTCTCCACATTCAGGTCAATAATGGTTATCTTTTATTTTCTTGTTTATTATTTATTTTACTTTATTTTTTAATGTATGTGAGTATATTCCCTGCATGTATATAAGTACAACTGTGTCATGCAATACCTGAGGAGGCCAGAAGAGGGAGTCAGATTCCCTGGAACTGGAGTTACCAATGGTTGTTAGCTGCCATATGGGTGCTGGGAACCCAACCCAGGTCCTCTGGGAGAACAACAAGTGTTCTTAACTGCTGGGTCACTCTTCAGTCCCATCTTTAATCTTTTTGATAATAGCTATCTGTCATGGTTAGTGTTGTCAACTTGACAGAATCTAGAATCACTTGGGAGTTGGACCTCTGTGCATGCCTGAGGGGGCTTATATTGTTTGTGATAATTGTGGTGGTAAGACCCTCCCAGAAGGCTCTCTCCAGCCTTCTCTCAGAGGACCCAGGTTTGATTCCCAGCACCCACATGGTGACTGACAACCATCTATAACTCCAGTTCCAGGGGATCTGATGGCCTCTTCCGACCTCCGTTGCATGACATGGGTGCACCTACCTACGTGCAGGCATTACATTCGTACACGTAAAACTAAAATAACAAATATTTAGAAATAAAATGGAGAAATCTAGCTGTGCAGTTAGGCAGCGTTCTTTGCGCTCCTCTTCTGACTGTGGATGTAATGTGACCAGCTACCTCAACCTCCTGATGCTGTCACTTCTTGCCTATCATGGACTGTACCTTGAACTGTGAGCTAAAATGAAACCTTTCTTCCTTAAATTGCCTTTTTTGAGGTATTTGATTATAAGCAACAGGAAAAGAAACTAAGACATTATTCTAAGAGGTGTGAGGTAATATCTCATTGTGATTTGATTTTAATTTGTATTTCCCTAATGATTAGAGATGTTGGGTGTTTTCTTACAGAGTGGTTGACCATTTTTCTGTATTCTTTTAAAAACTATCTCTTGGATTCTTTGCCCATTTTTCACCTGTTGTTTTCTTAAAGTGCGTTGTTTGGGTTCCTTGTGTGTTTTGAATATTAAACCCTCATTAGGTATACAGCTTGAAAATATTTTCTCCTACTCTGTTGATTGTCTCTTCACTGTGCAGAATCACTTTTTGCTTTTATTGTCTAGGGAGTGATATAACAATAGCTGCCTAGGCTGGGTTGTTGGAATTTCCCTCTAGGTTTTCTTCCAGTAACTCTGGAATTTCTTTTATTCCTTTTGAGTTGTTTTTTGCATATGGTGAGAGGTAGGGGTCCAATTTCTTTCTTCTGCCTGTGGGCATCCAGTTTTCCCCAGTACCATTTCTTGGAGACGCTGTTATTTTCCCTCATGTAGTTGTAGCACTTTGATTTAAAATCACTTAACTATAAACACTTGAGTTATTTCTGTACTTGTTCTATTGGTTGATTTGTCTGTTTTCACACTGATACTATGTTTTGATTGTAATAGTATTATCATCTGTTTTGAAATCAGATAGCATGACACCTGTAGCTCTGTTCTTTTTGTTTCAGATTGTTTTGGTTATTCAGAGCCCTTTCTGGTGCTAAACAAACTGATGTTGTTTCCATTTCTGTGAAAAATGACATTTTAATTTTCATAGGAATTTCAACTCTGTGGAACAATACTTATTCTTCCAATTTATGAACACATTATGAGCTTATTTCTGTGTTCTGTAGTGTCTTATTAATATTTTATAGTGTTTATTGTTATAATCTAACCGTTCTAACAGGTGTGTAGTGGTATCTTGTTTAACATGCAATTTTCTTGTCTTCCTTGTTTAATGTGGCTTCTTAAAACATCTTTTTCAAGTGCAATTAGATTTATCTAGGTTTAAAGTCCTAGATTTCATCATCTCCCCCATTTACCATGGGAAGCTGATGATGTGAGTGTGGAAGAGTACCTATAAATGAGGAAATTAATACTGGGAAAGTAGGAAATTGAATTAAGGGTCCTAAATAAATCAGAGCTTTCTAGAGAGTGTCTTCTATTCCCATTTCGATTTCTAAGGCTAAAACCTTTCCTTGAAATTTTTCTCTTGCTTCATTTTAGAGTGTATTTGAAGTCCTCTGGTCTACAAAGCAATACTGAATTGTGTTATTAGAAAAGCAATCAAGTCAAAAGTCCCATATAAAAGGGACACAATTCAGAGAAGCTACAGATAAGCATATTATAGGTTGAACTATTGCAGCCATGCTATAGTATTTTTTTTTTGTCATAAACACAGTTTTTTTTCCTAGAACTTAGTCAATACACAGGGGAAAAGGCCTGTTTTTCTGAGTTTCCCTGTTTGCATAGGAGTTAGAGAAAACAGGCACCAGCCTGTTGGATAAACATCTGGGAAGTGGCTGTGTGGAGTGTTTAGGGTTGTTACCCTTCACATTTTGCCTGGAAACAATCGCAGCACTCTCTGTCTTCTCTCCTGTGATTGGTTGTAGTAGTTCTAGTAATCTAAAATACAAATAGTGCTGAGAAAGCATGGTCAGAATTGGCATGTTACAGTTCTGGAAACTGAAGTTTATGAACAATGCAGCTGTAAAGGGAAGAGTTATTGCCAGAAAGTACTGGTGGTGGATTGAATCTGTACTCACGGGAGAGGGATTGCCTGGTGGAAACGTAGGCCCCACCTCTTTAGCACTGAAATTTCTTAGGCATCATGTTTCTTCAGGAGGAATCAAATCTCTCTGCTGTTAGTGCCATCCTTTTCACTGTTCATAAATTAATGTCCTGCACAGATGTTGACACTCTGTCAGAGTGCAGATTTCAGGCCAGATAAAACTGGGCAGAACCTCTGATCTCCTCTATGCACCTTGGACTTGTTCTGCTCTCAACCTCAACTTCACCATCCATCAACTGGGTAACCATCAGTACTTTCTTAATGCAGTCCTCCTGAGAAAAACCGTATGAGATAATGCATGTCAAGAAACTTAAGTATCTGGCATTCTTAACACCGTCTGCGGTTGGTGTTAACTTTTGACTATGCATTTACTTAGCTTGAATGTGCTTGTCTAGACACTGGGAATTTCCCCTTACATCTAAAATAATAACTCAAAATATGGCTGAAGAATCACATTCTTTTAGGCAGTATATACTAAGTAGCATGGGTTCTATGCTACCATAACTAGCTAAAGCAAAAAAAAAAAAAAAAAAGTTGAGTTGACAGGACTAAAATAATCCCTCTTCTTTTTAAATGCTGCTTGTAAATTAAAAAAGGAAATTCAATAATGCAGATAAAGATAATGGTGGGGTGTTTTTTGGTCACAGAAAAGAAATATGAATTAAGATTATATACATTAAGAGGAAAATAAAAAATTAAAAAAAAAGAACTTTAGGTGGATCTCAAGAATTTGTGAGAGGGACAAAATTTAACCTGGGACAGTTTAACAGACAGATGTGTAGGGAAGACGAGATGACAAGGAGTCACACTGGGGTGACGTCGGGGTGTGCCCTGCTTTTCCTCTCCTTTTCCATTGGCACCATCTCCACCTTTGCAGACTCAATTCAAAATTGCCCCTCAATAGAACGAGAACTAATAACTCAATTTAAGAATTAGGGGGAGAAAAGTATCAGCAATCTCCCTTTGAATTTAGTTATTGACTTGAATAAAGTTCTTAACACATGAAGGTAAGCTATAGATACATACAATAAATACAAGATAACATGATCTGTGATGGTTACCTTGGTCAAGTAATAATAATGTTATTAAAATAAAAAAACATGCAATTACCTAAAGATCTGATATTGAACATCTTTTTGGAAAGTTTATTTGTCATCTGTACATCTCTTTTGGCAAAGTTTGTTCAGACATTTTATCCATTAAAAAAATATTTTGTTTATTATTTTTATTTTATGCGTATGAATGTATCATCTGCATGTAAGTGCACCTGTGTCGTGCAGTGCCCACAGAGATCAAAAGAGGCCATTGGATCCCCTGGAACTGGAGTTACAGACAGTTGTTAGTCAACACGTGGATCGAACCCAGGTCCTCTGCAGGAGCAGTCAGTGCTCTTAACTACGGAGCCATCTCTCCAGCCCCATTTTACCCATTTTTAAACTGGCCTTCACATGTGCACCCACAAATGAGTGCACCTGCATGCACACACGTGCACATACATCATTACACACACACACACACACACACACACACACACACGCACACATGAGTTCTTTGTATATTTTAGAATAAAAGTCCTTCATCAGATGTGTTCTTTACAAAGATTTTCTCCTAGTGTCTGACCTATCCTTTTAACCCTCAATCTCTCCCTCTGTCTCTCTGTCTCTGTCTCTCTCCCCCTCCTTTCCTCCCTCCCCCGACCCCGCTTTTTGAGACAGGATCTTACTATGGAAATTTGACTGGCCTGGAACTCACTATGTAGACCAGGCTGGCCTAGAACTCACAGATATCTGCCTACTTCTGCCTCCTGAGAGCTGGGATTAAAGGCATATGTCATCACAACTGGCTTTTAATCTCTCTTTTTTAAAAAATATACTGATTTATTTTAGAATGCATTTATAAGGAGTTTTGAGGTTAGCCCCTCTGGTTTAAAAGCACTGAACTAGAAACACTTGAGCAGCTCCTTACAATCTCTTGATGGGGTCCTTCACAGGGCAGAAGGTTTTAATTTTAACCGAGTCTAGTTTATTAAGTTTTTTCTTTCATGGGCCATATCTTAGGTTTGTATTTAAAAATAATTAACTTTTGTGATAAAATGATTGTCTTGTAAAGCATGATAAACTTCTGCAAATACTCATGAATGCTGACCATTTTGTAGCTGCAGAATGCATTAAGACTTGGTGGTTGAGTATATATATTCATTTAGGATAGTAATGTACTAATGAGTATAACCCTTTTAAAACCAAACTCCCTTTGGTTGAATGGACTGTTTGATCCAGGATGTTATATCTTGTATGTATACAAAAGAACATGCTTGGTTGTAACTCGATTATTTTCAGGCAGAAGAAAGTGTCTCTGTATCAGTTAATGACTCTGATTCTTTTGGAACCAACTTGTCACCAAGAAATACTGAAAGTAAGAACTACATTAAAATTTCTAAAACAACAGAGAAGAAAAATCCACCTGAAATTAAGGGTTTAACCCCAAAATACAAAAAAAGTAAGTTAAAACTCTAAATTTACATTATTAAATTATTCTTTTGCAAGTTTAAGAAAACCAAAAAAGAATGAAGCTTCTAAGTTCTAACAATGTACTGTGCACATATAAGATCATGTATATTTGTGGTCATTCTTTTAGGAACATAGTTTTAACTCTTACACTCTTAAACCTTTTCTTCTCTCACAGCTACATGGCAGTCTAAAAGCTAACACAGGGTTTCAGGTAGATGGAAACAATTGTCCACAGGTATGTAAATTTGTCTTAAAGAGAATTTAAGAAGAAAATGGAAGAGTTCTTCCATTTGGGCTTGGATTTGTAAAGTTAGAGCATTTGAACCCTGTAGTAGTTATTTCTTATTTGTTTTATTGCTTGGATGTCTTTTGTTAGCTATAAAAGAAGTTATAGCATTCTGTAGATATCTAGGACAGTCTTTATTTTTACTATTATAAAGGACAGAAAAAGAAAAAATACTCATTAGAAAGAAGAACTCGTAGGAGAAAACATTGGGATTTGTCTTTTTTTCCAACTAAGCTCTGGTCTTATGGCTTAGTGAAGTTGGAAATTACCAGTATATTATATTTAATTACCTGTATATAAATTTAACTTATATTTAATTATATTTAATTGCCTGTGTATATATTTAATTACCTGTATATTATATTTTAATTGGAGCGGCATTTAAACCAAAGTATCAACCATAAGCTTGTGTCTCCATTTTATTTAATCCAACATTTTTACCACTATTTCTATTTGTTAGATGACAAAAATCAAGGCAATTATCTCTGGAATACAACAATAGAAGTTATCTGGGAAGGAGTAGAAGGCAGTGGAAGTGCCACCCTGTGCTTTCTGTTGTTAGTATTATTCAGAATAGATTAGCACCTTGGCGGACACATGCCCCAAAGAATGGGACACAGTGTAAATTTTTTATTTATAATAAAATAAAATAATCTATTTTCCATAAAATATTGGAGGCAATTCATAATTTAAAAACCCACTTACACTTTAAAAAGATGGAGGATCCAAAACCATGAAGATCAGTGGAAGCTATAAATGATTAAGTCAGAAATAGGAAGACTCAATTTCCTAAGGGTATGTGGGGAGGGGATGGTGGAGAGAAAGCAGTAGTAGGTGCTGAATTGTGATGCATTAATTGGTCATGGAATCATTTTCGGATGTCACTACTAATTTTTCTTTTGTAAGGAAATAGATAATAGTGGAATTGAAGACATTAGAGTGTTTTTTTTAAAAACACTACCACTTTGTAAAATAGATTTTTAAAATCATATATTTTCTCTCTGTCTCTGTTTCCCAATAGAAAACATATTTTAGACTGTGAGTGAAAATAATTAAAAGCCACTTCCTTTGACTCTGGAGGTCTATAGAGGAGAATAATCATAGAACAACTTTAGGGGGGCTAAGAGCAAGGTATTGGGCTAGGAATTTAAGGGGAAGTGTTGAGTTTAATAAGGATATGGTACCAAAATTGCAAGGTATCTAAGGAAAGGAAGTGGAATATATGATGAAAATCTCTCTTCATAATTTTGTGTAGGACTAAATTTGTGTAGAGCTGTGGCAGATACTGGCTAGTTGGTTGTTGTCTTGTGTATTACCTAAGCAGCCCTTGCATAGAAGAGTGCTCTAAAAGTAGCCATTTCTGTAAAGAACTTAAGATTTTGCATACAAGACAGAATATGGTATTACTCTAAACTATGAGTTACAGCCCAGTTGTTCTGAGTCTTTGATAGGAACAAGCTTACAAGATCTGCCATACTAATTCCAATTTGTCTACTTGGTAATATTTTTTTTTTTTTAAATCCCCGATGTCAGGCTACACCCCAAACAGTTAAATTTCAATGTTTAGGAATGGAACACTGGTAGATAAGAGCAGTTTTTGAAGCTCTCCAAATGATTCTAATGTGAAGACAAATTGGGATCTGGTTCATCCCTTAATCATTATATCTGTTGGGTTCTAGAAGCATAAAAATAATTTTAGAGTTTTCCTTAGAACTCAGGTCTATCTTGCATTATCTGAAGTAAAGTATGCAACTTCTAAGAAAATCACTTTGCTTTTTTTCCAATGTGATTTGAGCTAATTGGATTTATCACATTATATAGCTTGTAAGTGTTTTGTGTTATGAAACTTCTTTACTGTCCAATAGTAGTAGAAAATAATAACCCCAATGAGATAATCATTAAGGTCCTCTAATGCCCAGTGTAGTATTAGTTACTTTTCTGTTGCTGTGATAGAAACACTGACCAAAGCAATTTATAGACGGAAGAGTTTATGTGAGCTTACCATTCCAAAGAAGCAAGAGTTCATCATGGTGGGGAGGCATGACAGCAGAGGTGGCCAGAGGAGGAGCGGAAGCTAGGCTCTACATCTTCAAGCAGGCACAGGAAGCAAGTGAGTAACTGGAGACCTGAGATCTGGCAAGGCATAAGAAATCTCTAAGCCTGCCCCCAGTACCATGCTTCATCCAGCTTGGCCACACCTCCTGAGACCTCCTGAAACAGTGCTACCAACTGGGGACAAAATGTACAAATACTTGGAGCCTATGGGGGACATTTTCATTCAAACCGCCACACCCAGATTTTAGTGTTTGGTTTTTTTTTTTTTTTTTTTTGTTTTTGACAGGGTTTTATGTAGCCCTGGTGGCCTAGAACTTGCTATATAGACCAGGCTAGTCTTGAACTTGTGGCAGTCTTCCTGCTTCTGCCTCCTGACAGCTGGGATTACAGCTATGCATGATCAAACATGGCTCCAGATGTTAGCCTTAAAATACTGTTTCTTTCTTGGGGCTGGAGAGATGGCTCAGCAGTTAAGAGCACTGACTGCTCTTGCAGAGGACCCAGGTTTGATTCCCAGCACCCACATGGCAGCTGCTAACTATCCTTAGCTCCAGTTCCAGGGGAATCTGAAGCCCTCTTCTGATCTCTGTGGCATTGCATGACATGGGCGCACTCATATACATGCAGGCAATGTACTCATAGACATAAAATAAAAATAATAAATAAAATATAAAAAACTCTTAAATTTTTTTTAAAGAAATGAATGATTGCAGGTTTAGGAGAGAAACTACACAGATAAACCTGAAATATCTTGAATTCCAGAGGTAAGAAAAACTAAGACTTTTACCAGCAACTGCTTCAGAAGGTCTCTTAATCCTACTGGAAGAGGTTCCCATTATTTTCACTAAGAGGAGAAAATTAGAGAATCAATAGCAATAATACTTGCAAGGAACTGATCTACATGGAACTATATTCACAGAGATCCACCTGTCTACCTCCCAAGTTCTGGGATTAAAGGTGTGTGCCACTACTTCTGACTTAAAGAAGTTTTTGGTGTTTAGGAGACAACTGGAAACTTAAACACTGATTTTATATTTGGTGATACTAAGAAGGGTCTATTAATTTTTAAGGTGTCATATTGATGTTTTAAATGCTTTTGAAAGAAAATATACTTACAGAGATGTGTAATAAAACTGTTAGAGATGAAATAATATGATACTTGGGACTTCAAAATGATAAAAGATGGGACTAGAGATAAAAGGAGTAGATAGGTAGCATTGGTTATTATTAAAACTTTGTGGTGGGTACTTGGAGAGATTATTGTTATACTATTCTGTCTGCTTTTGTACATGCTTGAAAATTTCCACAATTAAAGGTTGAAAGGAAGATAAAGCCAGAGAAACAACTTGGGAGTTATTCTTATTTCTGTGCCATCTAGGTATGAGACATCAGTATCCTTATGTAGAGAAGAAAAATACTCTGAATTTTCAGCATCAAAAAAATTCAGGAGAAAGGAAAGTTTACAAGTACAGCTGTGTACTATAAGAACTGAGGTAAGTCAAGACTTGGAAATTATCCTTTTTGTCCTTAATTCCCAATATCCTTGTTTGTTTCAGCCCAAGGGTTGAAATGTCACTATTTTAGATATTATTTCTCCCTCCTCTTCTTTTCCACTCCCCTATGATTGTTAGTGCTAATTAGCAACTTGATAAAATCTAGAATCACCTAGGAAATGGACTTCTGGGCTTGTGTGTGAGATTAGCTTGATTACACTGAGGTGGGAGGATCTACTGTGGGTGGTACCATTCCTGAGGCAGGATCCGTGGCTGTGGAAGAGTGAAGAAATGGAGCTGGGCAAGCAGGCATGCGCTCATTACTGTCTGTTCCTGATGATGCCTGTGAGTAGCTTCCTGCCATGATGAACTGTAACCTGGAACTGCCAGCCCAAAGAAGCCCTTGATCCCTTAAATTCATTTTTCAGGGCATTTAATCACAGAAATAGAAAAGACACCAAGATCCCCCCGTTTCTCTTTCAGAGTTTGTTGTTTTTTGTTTTCAATAGGCTCTCACTGTGCTGCCCATGCTGTTCCCAAACTCCAGGGTTCAGATGGTTTTCCTGTCTCAGTCTCCTGAGTAGCTGGGACTATAGGTACCTGCCACCATACCTGGTCCCCCTGGTCCCCCCGCCCCCCACTTATTCTTAATGAATCCTTTTAGAAGATTATGAAGTTTTTACTTTACCTCCATTAAACTAGTTTTTTTTAATTTTCTTCTGTTTACTTTTTACTGCATTGTCTATTAGTGTTTCTGATATTTTAGCTATGATCCTAGGTGTTTCTTGGTTTGCATTTTTGCATGGGTTTTCTCATGGCCTTCTCCTCTGTGTCTAGCCCTCATGGTCTTCCTCTTCCTTAGTCTTATAAGCACCCTGTCATTGACTATCTCATCTTGACATCCTTACTCTGCTTACATCTGCAAAGTTTTTTTTCTCTGAATAAAGTCACAGTCACAGGTTCCAGATACTAGGGCATGAAGTGGAACCAACATTTCACTTTATCATATCCTCCATCATGTGTGAAGTGGAACCAACATTTCACTTTATCATATCCTCCATCATGTGTGAAGTGGAACCAACATTTCACTTTATCATATCCTCCATCATATACTTAGGTATATGTTTTCTCTGTCTTGATATTTGTGCTTCCTAAATCTGAGAATGAACACTTTTCTTTAATAGATGGACTTTTGGGGAAATACCGATAGCAACACTGTTTCATATTTTTTACTTGTTTTTGTTTCTCTGTTTCGTTTTTGGCATTTTACTCCCTATCTGCTTTGTAGTTCATTTATTCTCTTGCTAAGTTTAATCTTCAAATTTCCCTACCACTGAGATTTTAATTTCAGTGATTTCTTTATTTCCAAAAGCTTTATCAGTTCTTCAAGTCTGCCTGTCTATCATGTTCTTTGCTCATGTTTCAGAGTTATTTCAAGATTGGTGTCTGACAAGTTAGTGTAGAAAGTCTTTGGGGCATCTAAATCTTGTTTTCTATTTTATGTTTTTCTTCCTTGTGTAAATTTGTGTTCTTGAATGTTTCATATGATTTATTCATTCTTTCAAATATAGTTTATATACATTTGTGAGAATCTTATGATGATTTTCTACTTCAAGATTTTTTTTTTTTTTTTTTGAGACAGGGTTTCACTGTATAGCCTTGACTGGCCTAGAAAGTTCTGTATAGGCCAGCTGGCCTCAACATTTGGGTGACCCTCATGCCTCTGTTTCCCCAGTGCTGGTGAGACAGGCTTGCATCACTGCCTTGCCTTGCTCCCACACACATACACACACTCACACACACACACACATATATATTTAAAAATATTTTATTTATTATTTTTATTTTATGTGTATTCATGTATTGCCTGCATGTAGGTGAGTGCACCCATGTTGTGCAATGCCCACGGAGGACAGAAGGGGCTGTTGGATCCCCTGGAACTGGAGTTATGGGCAGTTGTTAGCGGCCATGTGGGTGCCAGGATTCGAACCTGGGTCTTCTGCAAGAACAGTGTTCTTAACCCCTCTTCAGCCCCCCAAATATATTTTTTTAGAGAGAATTTGTATTTGCCTCTGCTTTGCATATCATAAATGTTACAAATCTGGAACCACTTTAGATGATTTTTGCCAGTTTTTTTGCTTATGTATTTAATGTACAATTGAATTCAATATTTTTATGTGCCTAGAGATGGATTATAATTAATCAGGGGGAGTGGTTTTCTTTCTTTCTTTCTTTCTTTCTTTCTTTCTTTCTTTCTTTCTTTCTTTCTTTCTTTCTTTCTTTCTTTCTTTCTTTCTCTAGCATGGAGTTGAGACAGAGAAAGGCTGTATTCTGCATACTCCTTCAGTGGGAGTAAGTTTTTTTTTTCCTAGCCTGCTCTTTCTGAGAACACTAACTTTTGAATATTTTGCCTTGACACGGGACCTCATTATTGATTTCCATTAATCACCTGCGACTTGAGAGTTTTCTTTTCATAGCCTGCATAATCTTTAAAACTCAAGGCTCTAAGTTCCATGTAAAACCAAAGATACCTATAGTAAGAATCACCATTTTCTAAAGTGGTATTTTTCTGTTTACGTAGATGGTTGCCTCTTTAGAATTTTTTTTACATATGCAATGTTAGGTGGATAATTTACTCAATCATAAAGATAATTTAAAATACAATCATTTATATGATTTGCATAACTATTGGTTCTCCACATTATTTTGCATATATAGTTAGAGCCTGTGTATGTAGCCTGGTCTGATGGCTAAGTCGAGTTCTTAGGTTTGTTCTTTTAGAATTTATTGCTGTAACTGAATAGAATGCTAATTATAAGGTAATTACTTATAAACATAAGAAAAATGGCTTTGAGGAAAATATTATAGTTTATTTAAAAAATTTAGTACATATGAAATGTAATCTAATTACAAAATTCAGCTTTCTGCCAGAAGCCTGGCTAAGTGAGGCTTACTATTCAAGGCGCTAGATTACCAGTGTAATCACAGACACTAACAAGTTTGCTTTTGGCTCTAGACTCCCTCTCCCTCTCGGAAGCCGTCAAAAGAGAAGATGACTCGGAAAGAAAGCACTTTACACAAGCTGTCGAGTCAGTACGGTGGTCGCAAGACTTTGTTACCTCTTTCTACATCTTCCACAGCTACTCGGTACTTAGATCATTGTATTCTGTTCTTTGTATGTTGGGCTCAAACTTTGGGTTTTTCTCTGCAGTTTTGGATCTCTTCCACATACAGAATGCCAATAATTTGTCTAAATGAAAAGACTGTGATCTTAGGAAGGATCAGGCAGCAGCTGGAGCACTGTATGTGGGTCTGGAAGACTTAAATTAAGTCCTAATTGACTTCACATCCTATTTATGTACTTGTAAAATTCACGTTACGTCATGGGCCTCACTTTCTGCTTCTTTTTAAAAAAGATATTTATTATTTTTATTTTATGTGTATGAGTGTATTGCCTGCATGTAAGTGTACCTGAAAAAGCAGTAAGTAGTCTTAACCACTGAGCCATCTCTCCAGCCCCTCACTTTCTACTTCTGTTACAAGAATCTTGTATTATGACCTCTTAAGATTTCTTCCAACACTAATACATAATTTTAGTTGTTTATACTTTATAGTATCAGATGAATCATTTTTTCCAGACATTTTATCTATAGGTGAAAATAGAATCTTGAATTTGGATGTTTAAAGATGTTTTTGAGTTCGTTGTATAATAACTTTCTTTAAAGAATTATTGTGACTTGTATTAATAGTAGGAAAAATTGCCACAGAACCAAAGGATGGTGAATCATGGACACTATTTACTGATTAGGGTAGATTCTGATTTGTGGGGATATATTGTTGGAGAAACAAAATGGGAATTCTGGGATGAAGAATAAAAACTTACCACTTGAAAGTTCTTTAAGAAAGGTTCTTATTGCTGAACTTGGTACATGCCTGTAATCTCGGCACTTGGGAAGTCGAGGCAGGAGGATCATCAGAAGTTTGAGGCCATCCTGGACTACATAGTGAGTCTGATGCAAGCCTGAGCAACTTAGTGAGACCAGGTCTCAAGAACAAACAAACAAACAAACAGCAACCCCCCTCCCCTCAAAACCAAACAAAAATAAATGAAACAAGCAAAAAGACCAAACAAAACAAAATTTCTTATGATTTTAGCCTGTCTATAGGTTTTCTAATCTTTTTAAATGGGTTTTTTAAAAAATATATTTCCTTTGCTGCTTTCTAACATGGCTATTTCTTTGACAGGAGGAAGTCAGCACCTTCTAACCTCTACACGACATTATATGAACAAATACCTGATGGATACTTACAATTCCAAGAATTAAGTGGTAATAAGAGATTACAGAATTAAAAAATATTTTATTTATTATTTTTTATTTTATGTGTATGCATGTATTGCCTGCATGTTTGTAAGTGCACCCGTGTCATGCAATGCCCGAGAACAGAAGAGGCCGTTGGAGTCTCTGGAACTGGAGTTGTTAGCTGCTGTGTGGTGCTGGAGTTCAAACTGGGCCTTCTGCAAGAACAGCCAGTGTTCTTAACTGCTGAGCCATCTCTCTAGCCCCCAGATTCTGGAATTTATTTTCCCTCCCTCCCTCCCTCTCTTTCTTTTAGAGTCTCACTCTGTAGGCAGACTTGATCAGACTTGCCATTCTCTTGACACAGTATTCCCTTTAAGTTTGGCCAGATTTTGTCCGTGTTTTCTTTGGGGTCTGCTCCAAACCTTCATTGCTTTCCTCAAATTCTCAATCCTATCACCTGTTTTTAAAACTCTACTAAAATATAAAAATATTTAGCTAAAATTTGCTTCTGTCAGAGCTGGGGAGGTAGCTTAGTTGGTCAACAGTGCTTGCTGTACAAGCCTGAGAACCTGGGTTTGAGCTCTAGTACTCACTTTAAGAAACCTGGGCATGCTTGCATGCACTTGTAATCTCAGCCCTTGGTAGACAGGCAGATCCCTGCAGTTCGCTGTTCAGTCAGCTTAGTGGAATTGGCAAGCCTGGGGACCCAGGGAGTTCTGTCTTAAAGAGCCAGGTGAATAGCACTTGAAAGTTGACCTCTGGCCTCCACACGCATGTGCATATATACACACTCATGCACATGTGTATACACACACAATTTGCTCATCTGAAGTTTGTGAAAGTAAATATTTTCTTATTTCTTTTTTTAAAGTTCAAGAACATTTAGCGTGAAAACTACCTTAACAGAATTTTCAGTGTACTATGTAGTATTGTTATCTATAGGCATGATATTATATAGAGGATCAGTAAAATTATTATATGTAGCAAATTTTATACCCGTTGATTAATGACTCCCTCCTTTTTCCTCCAGACAACCAGAGTTCTTGCTTCATAAGTTCTTTGCTTCATAAGTTTGACTATTTTGGATACTTAATATAAGTAGAATTGTTTTTCCTGTAACTTCACTCAACACAACATCCTCTGGACACTCCATATTACCAAATATTCTAACATTAGCCATATGATTTAAATGACTAAATGAATAAGATTCTATGAAATGTATTTACCACAATTAAAATTAATTCATCTTTTGATGGACATTCAGTTTTTTCTACATCTAGACAACTGCTAACACAGCTGCCATGCACATAGATATGTTCTTATCTTACTGAGATCCTGATTTCAAATCAGTTTTTTGAGGTGGTCTTATGTGGCCTAGACTGGCCTCAAAGTCACTATGTATTTGAACTTCTGATTGTTCTGCTTCTACCTTCCAAGTGCTGGGATTACAGGTGTGCATCATCAGGCCCAGTTTATCTGATCTCAATTAAAAAAAACCCCTCAGAAGTAAGATTTCTGGATCATGCAGATTTGTTGTTTTCATAGATAGTTAATAAAAGCCATTGGGAAGAATCTTTCTAAACACCTTTCTTTTCCTACCCATAAGCTTAGTTATGAAGACCATTCACATTCTTCCTTTCATATATTTGGTTCTCTTTCATCAGGTTAATCCCTTTCTGTCTCATCTCTATTTAATTTTTTTCCCTGCTTTTGTAGGGGCTATTATTTGCCAGTTTTATATCTATATTTTTTAAAAACATCTTAAGAGTATTTTCATTGATATTCTATTATTTACTTCCCATTTCACTGAAACCTGTCTTCTACCATCAATCCTCCATAAAATCTGTTATTTTTTGTCCTACAAATTTAATAAAACCTACTCTCTTGAAATTTATAACAATAGCAATAACTCAAAGAAATGTGGCCAAAAATATTTAGAACTAGTACAATAATTGCCAGATTTAATTCATCTAACCTTATACACAAAGCTGAATCCAAATTGTTCTACAGTAAGCACAAAACCTCCTGTTATTAATGTCTCTATTATCAGCTTTTCAGTGTTTCTTTTTTTAAATATATTTTTTATTATTTTTATTTTATGTGTTTGAGTGTATTGCCTGCATGTGTGTGAGTGCACCCGTGTCATGCAATGCCGTGGAGGTCAGAAGAGGGCTTTGGATTCCCCTGGAATTCAAAGTTGGAGTTAAGGACAGTTTGTAGCCACCATGTCGGTGCTGGGAATCGAACCCAGGTCCTCTGCAAGAGCAGTCAATGCTCTTAACTGCTGAGCCATCTCTTCAGACCTATCTTTTCATTGTTTCTTTTACTTCCTCCTTCTCTCTTTCCCCTCTCTCTCCTTCCTTTTTTCTTTCCTTTCTCAAGCTGGCCTGGAACTTGTGATAATCCTACCTTAGCTTACCTGGTTATTGGATCATTGCCTGATTTATTGTATTCATTAAACTAAACCAAATTCAATACAATGGACATTGTTTGTGGGAGGAAAATCTATCTTAAATTAGTGCTGGAAAGAAGATAAATGGACAGTCTTGCCTCCTAGAAGCCAAGAATGTTGGCTGAGGCACATACCAGTGCTCTGCCTGCATGGAGAAAGGCTTGAATATTCTCAGGGAAAGTTGTGGAAACCTGCGTGATCCTTGCATGGAATTTGAGACAGTTTTACGTTGCTCTGGGCATACCTACATCAAAAGTTAGATTTGAAAGGGGGCATCTAGTTAAACAAAAATATACTCCTCTTTCATGTTTTAGTGGGCATTATTTTATCTTGTTAAAGTCATAAAGGTAGAGAGGATGGTTGTTCATTTGAATTAGCTACATGTTTTGTTATGTGTACCCAGTGCTTCCTAAAGCCTGCAGAATTTTTAGTAAAATTCGAAATGGTGAGATTTATGTGAGTGATTTGCCAGTGGTTCTTCACACCTTGAAGATTTCAATGAGTCATTCGGAAATGCGACAAGTGCTAAAGACTATGGATATTGATGGGCAGTTTTGTTTTCAGCATTAGTGTGTGTTTTGCAAACATGGATATAGTTATCTGATTAATTACAAATGATAGGAAAACTAAATTTTGAATATTTATAATATATAACTTTTTATCATGTTTTAAAAACATTGTTCATAATAATAATACTAAAAAGTTGGGCCTCAGGTGGACATAATTGGATTGATTCCTAGATTGGAGCGTGATATAGTCTCATCACTAGACCATGCATAGCCTACTTTTATTTTTATTTATTTATTTTTATTTTATGTGTATGAGTGTATTGCCTGCATTTGTGTAAGTGCACCTGTGTCATGCAGTGCCTGAGGAGGTCAAAAGAAGGCGCTAGATTCCCGTGGAACTAGAGTTACAGACGGTTGTCAGGTGCTGTGTGGGAGCTAGGAATGGAACCCAGGTTCTCTGCAAAGAACAGTCAGTGCTCTTAACTGCTAAGCCATCTCTGCAGCCCCACTATTAACATATCTTATTTCTTGTTTTAACTATATTTTGTATTTCTAGTTTAATAATACATTTTTCTTTGATTATGGTTTTGCATTTCAGATCATATTATATTTTTGTGGTTATCAGATAAATAATTTGATGACTTTAGATCCG